ATCCCACATTGTCCTTGTGCCCCCAAAATGCCCTTTGTTCTCATGGGCAGTTGTAACATCAGCTGCCTCTATAAATGATATTTGTAGATGCTTATTAGTATTTTTAACCAGGGAAATTGATTTCTAAGGGCAGTTGATATTACAGTCCACTCTTAGAAATAGGTGTTGCACATAAAAAAATATTTTCAAATAAAATTTGATGAATATAAAAATAATAGAGCTCGATGCAATATACAACTTTCTAGTTGATTATCCTTTTATTTGACCATTTAGTCATCCAAATTTACGTTTTAATTTCTTAGATTCTAAAATTTAAATTTTCAATTGTTTCAAACCACCTCGGATGGAGACGCAACCTATACTAAAGTTGTAGTGCTCAATAAAATCTAAAAATTTATAGTTGATCTTTTTTCATGAGATGGGCGAAATATCCAGTACAAGATTCACATAAGTTAATACAAAAGGATATCATTGTATATTAGGTCACAAGTGATTATATGTCATGGTGGTCTAGGGGGATTCATACGAGGTAAGAGGTCAGTATTTAAATCTTAGGAAACGCATGTGTGAAAAATCGTGTGCTCTGGTTAGTGGGCTTCTACCGACATTAAAATCAAAATTAAAATCAAAATATGAAGTTTTTGTTTGCTATTTAATTTTTTTTACAATAGTTTTATCATTTCTAGAAAATGATCTCTAGGGACGACAGGCCACGTTATATATAGACCGCCCCATTTCTATGGGTGATTGGTGTTTTCCGACGTTAGAAATGGTTTATTACTAAATAAAGATGATTGGTTATTAGAGAAGGCTGGAAGAAGCAGCTTGAAGACATGCATGTAGACAAAGAAAGAGATCGTTCCAAGCGTAACACTGCTTACTCTTGCTCAATCACTACCATGAGACCGGCTCTTTGTCGGTGCGTGGTTTGCAGAGTGTTGTTTTTCGGCACTTTAAAGCGGCGAACGCGAAAGTGTTTTTTTTGACACTTTCGGGAGGAGGCTCTCTTGTCTTGCAGTGTTATTTTTTACATTCGATCAAAGAAAATTTCAAAGCATATTTTGAAGCAAGCTACTCGAATTAATTTAAATGAAAAAGTTTCAACTACAAAGTTGTATAACTCATCAAGATGTACAATGTTTGTTTTAGTCTTTTCATCATACACAAAGTGAAAATAATTTGTTCACAACTTCTACTATCTCTTGAGTAGTTTATGAAACTACAATGAGATATATAAAGATTTTACGATAATGTTAAACGATCATGTCGGATGAACAGATGACCAAACAACCAAAATAAACTTTGTAGATCTCGAAAAGTTATGAAATTTTCCGAATTGACAACTTTTGATTTGAAAACATTTTGTCATGCAAAACCGCATTTGAATTTCAAAATTTTAAAATTCACCCGACTTTTCAAACGACCTCGGATGAAAAAACAACCAAAATAAACTCAGTAGATCTCGAAAAGTTATGAAACATTGTAGTTGACAACTTTTTATTTGAAAACATCTTGTCATGCAAAACTGCGTTTGAATTTTAAAATTTTAAAATTCAAATTTTGTAAACGACCTCGGATGGAAAAACTTCATAAACTAAAAGTGTAGATCTTGAAAAGTTATGAAACTTTATAGTTTACAACTTTTTTATTTGAATTCGTTTAGGGCCTCAAACATGCAATTTACACTCGGTTTAGTATAATATATTGGGAACCAAAACGGAATGCATCACAAGTGAGAGTGTGGTGTAGTGGTAGAGGAGAGCCTAATCGCATGCGACGGAGGTCTCCGGGTTCGAATCGCGTTATACGTAGCCATGAAATTCACGCCCGGCCGCCGGAGATGGGTGGGCGCCGGCGGTTTGGGCCTCCATCGATAAAAAAAAAGCCATTTTTTAGGTAAAATTCCCATTTTTTTCGGGTTTTTTCGTTTCAATCTGCATGAGTGCCACATAAAGACACTTGATGAAAAAGCGCGCTTTGCCGACAGTTTATTTGCCCTTTTTCTCTGTCGGCAAAGCTTTCTCTCTCTATAAATTAGGCTTTGCCGAGTGCCCAAAGCCACTGATTCCCGTAGTGAATGGGACCATGATGCACCATGCATGGAGCGTCGTCGGCAACACGCGAAAAGTAATAAACAAAACGAACGCAAAAGGGACAAAAGAGGCCGGAAAGGAGGGACCATGATGCACCATGCATGGAGCTTGTCTTGCATTGCACTGTGATCGACTCATCATGCTGCATGCATGCTACTCGATATAGCAAGCGAGTATATATGCCTTGCCCTCATTGCAAGTAGCGCATCGCATGACTTTGCCGTACTATTATATATAGCGCATCACGCAGCCTCTGCATCTTTCTACTTCTACTACGTTGAGGCTACACATTTAGAGCCCTTTTGATGAGATGCATGAATTTTACAGTAACCATATACAAATTTCACAGGAATTAATTTATTTTTATATAGAATAAACGTACGCAACATGAAAAATCTCCCGCATTTCAACCGGAGCTGAGGAAATAATAATAATAATAATAATAATAATAATAATAATAATAATAGACAAATCTCTCCTGCGTATTCTAAAAGAAAAAAAAGATATGGATAGTCACAGCTACTATTTTTCTATCTATCATGAGTTGCACTTTCACTTACGAATATATTTGGATAGCGCGGTTACTAGCTTACTACGCCTGGGTGGGCCTTATTCGGTTAATCCTCTCCCAAGATAATTGTAGGGGATTGGGAGATTTTAACTCTTGTAAGGGGATTTAATGCCCTTCGCTCCATTTCAATCTCCTTTAATCACCCTCCAATCTCCACCAAATTGAACAAGGCTGTAAGGGTGTGTGTATAGGTGGAGACAAGGACACTAATATAATCCATACCTAAGACGACTAGTACATAAAATGGAGAGAGTTTACTATTGCACCAAGGGAGATCTTTTTTTTTATCTCCGTTCTTATATATATACACTAGTAAACATGTAGAGGTCTTGTTTAGCTGCACTTTAATCCACCCCGATCCACATGGGTTGCCAAAGATTAAGGCGGAAAATTAACTGGATTAAAGTGCAGCCCGTATAGGGGAAAACAACTTTTGTTAATATCAATGCCTCGAGAACTCATTCTTTCTTAATCATCCTATTTGGTGGTACTGTACAGTTCCTGTAGAATATGAATGGTCGTTTGTGCTATTCCGATGGTTCAAAAGAGTGACCGATAAGTGGTCATCATCCTACCATTTACAAAATAGACCCTTATTTTTTGATGGTAGAAATAGACCCTTATAAGAGCACCGAAAGTAGAACCAATGCAATTATAATGTATTACTTCTTCTTCTGTTCTAATTGTGAGCCATTTTTAGCTTTGTCCTATATCAAACTTATCTAACTTTCACCAAGTTATTAGGAAATATATCCAAATAAATATACTATAAAAAATATATCATGCACGGTGTATCTAATAAATTAAATTTTGCTCCATGTTGTAAATGTTTATGTATTTCTGTGGACTTAGTTAGAGTTAGAGAAATTTGATTTAGGAAAAAAAAGACTAAAACCACTTACAATTTGAAACGAAGAGTAGTACTTCACCACTCCATGATTTAATTTACAAAAAAAAAAAATAGTGTACCACCATTGCATGCATGCTTAGCTGGTGTGGTCCTTAGCCAGTTTTATTTGTTGCAAGGCTTCCTTGTACAATACCATCTTATACACACTTACTATGATGAAGCTGATGACATATACTATATATATGGCTTTGCTTCCCTCTGATTATACTTCTTTTTATATATAAATCACCTCGTGCATGCATGCCTTGCGGTGCACACCGATGTGATATTTTTTTTTGTCTGATCATGCATGTGAGTGGTCCTACATGCGAATAATACTGATTACTTTGATCACTTTCTTCTTTTACTTTTGCAGAGAGAGATAAAAGAATCGAAAGACACTTATTCCATGTGTTGGAGATCGATGGACCAGCAGGCCACAGCACTCACAAACCAGTAGTAGTACACACGCACACCACACACTGCAACACCAGCAGGCAAGCATATAGAGGCCGGAATGGCCGTCACATTGCATGCTCATACTAGCAGGCATATACATGCATGTGCATGTGTTGGAGTTTCAGTTTCCTAGCTAGCTTAGTACACATCAATTTATTTGGAGAGGAGGCGCCAAATTCACCGGCAGCCGGCAGGAAAGAAACTGACAGGTACGGTGCGCCACTTCTCTACTAGCTCACATGCATGTGCGTGTTTCCTTATTTTATTTACTCTCCATTGACAAATTAAACAAGTGTTGTTTCGAGTACATTTGTTCATGTCTTGTGGAAACCAAGGATTTTTCGTTTATATAATAAAACGCTAATGAATTGTTCATCATCATAACCTTTTGCGTGTGTTCTTCTAGGTATAAAGTGTGTGCAAACACACAATTGAGTTGAGTATATAAACAAGGTCCTTGATATTTTCTTATAAGAAAATATAACAAAGACATTCATATACATGCGCACGCACACACACACTCATCTATATAAATGTACGGATTTAAACTCGAATGGATAGTTTTCACCATAAGTAATCTAATCAGCTGACCTACACTCAACTTGCTCTTTATTTTTATTCTTTATCATGCATTTAATTTGTTTCAAGACAAACTATTAACCAGTGGTATTAAAATTGCATCGTTCTTTGACATGACAAAATGTCAGTCAACTGAGTCGTTCTTGACGTGACAGAATCTCAGTCAACGAAGTAGAATATTATATAGCAAAAATTAAATTCATAGTTAAAAAATAATTCACAAAGAATTTATAGTTTTTTCTATCGTTAAAAAATGACAAAAGTGCATGTTAACTGAACAATAACAAGACATCTGAGATATAGGAGTGAATAAGTAAAGTAGAAACACACTTGCTGCATTGACCAATTGTTGATGAATATGCATGCCATATGCATGTCCAGCTGGTAGCGGCGGCCGGCGGCAGCGACGATGGGTTTCAATCCTCCGGTGCCACAGCAGGACAGCGACTGGGAGATCCGGGTGGCGGTGCTGGTGAGCCTGCTCCTCCAGGTGTTTCTCATCTTCCTGGGCCCCATGCGCAAGCGCTCCTCCTCCCCGATACCCCGCTTCACCGTCTGGTCCTGCTACCTCCTCGCCGACTGGGTCGCCGACCTCGCCCTCGGCCTCCTCCTCAACAACATGGGCAACATCGGCGGCGGCGGCGGCAACTCCTCGTCCAGCTTTGGCCTCAAGCGCGGCGGTGGTGGCGGCACCGCTGGCAACAACAACAACGCTAGCAGCGGAAGCAGTAGCCCCATCATCTTCGCGTTCTGGACGCCGTTCCTGCTGCTCCACCTGGGCGGGCCGGACACCATCACCGCCTACTCGCTGGAGGATAACGAGCTGTGGCTCCGCCACCTCATTGGCCTCCTCTTCGAGCTCTTCTCCGCCTGCGTCATCTTCTTCTGCTCCCTTCACGGCAACCCCATGATCCCCGCCACCGTGCTCATGTTCATCGTCGGCATCATCAAGTACGCGGAGCGCACCTACTCCCTCTACTCCGGCAGCGTCGACGGCTTCCGCAACAAGATCCTCGACGACCCGGACCCGGGGCCAAACTACGCGAAGCTCATGACGGAGTTCGACGCCAAGAAGAAGGCCGGCCTGGTCGTCGAGATCGCCATAGCCAATGGTGAGGCCGAGGAGGCACACAAGGAGATGGAGAAGCAAGAGATAGAGATGCGCGCTGGTGCAGGACAAGAACAAAAGCGTGGAGGCTCGCGCGTACGAGTTCTTCCTCATCTTCCGGCGGCTCTTCGTCAACGTGATCCTGAGCTTCAAGGAACAGTATTTTCTCACGGCGGCTGAGCCAGGCCTTCTTCCTGGAGCGCGATGACATGAAGGGCGGCGGCTGAGCGGCTTTCAAGGCGATCTTGAAGGAGGTGGAGCTCAACTTCATCTACGACATGGTGTACACCAAGGCGCCCGTCGCCTACAGCAGCTGGCACGGCTGGGGCTCGGTCCTCTGCTACTGGGGCTGGGTCCTCCGCTGCATCTGCTCCTGCTGCCTCGTCTCCGCGCTCGTCATCTTCTTCTTCCTCGACAAGCCTGGGCACCAGATCCTGCCCGTCGACGTCGGCATCACGTACGCGCTGCTGCTGGGCGGGTTGGCGCTCGACGTGGCGGCGCTGCTCATGATCTTCTTCTCCAACCGCGCCCAGGTGTACCTGGAGTCGTCCAGGTGGCTCAGGTGGCTGGCGTGGCTGAGGGAGGTCATCAAGCGGTGGCAGGCGCGGCGCTGGTCGGGGAAGACATCGCAGCTGAACCTCATCGAATACTGCCTCGGCAAGCCGGGCAATTACAGTAACAAAGGTGGACGGCGGTGGCTCCACAAGATCGTCGAGAAGATGCACGTCGAGGAGATCGTGGACGACTTCTTCTTCATCCACCGCGTGCCACTACGCGGCAAGAAGCAGCAGGACGACGGCGGCGACAAGCAGGACTCCCCTCCTCTCCTAGATTTCATCTTCAAAGCCCAGGTGCAGCGGCCGAGATGCTGAAAGCGAAAGGAAAGGGGACATCATGGAGATGTGCAACTGTCGTGGCAACCGTGTCATCCAGCGCCATGCCACGGAGATCAAGAAGAACATCGAGAATAACGACGAGGTGAAGCACCTTGCCATGGATAAAATCAAGAAGTCCCTCGAGGAGAAGGACGAGGCGAAGCGCCTTAGCATGGACGACATCGACAAGATCAAGGCCGAGGTCGCTACGGAGAAGTTCAGGCTGATCCTGGACAGCGTGGAGCAGAGTGACTTCGACGAATCCCTGCTGCTGTGGCACATCGCCACCGACCTGTGCGGCCTCCAGAACAAGATAACGGCACCAACGGCGGACGAAGATCGGCTGCGACCCATCGGCGAGACCCTGTCGGAGTACATGCTGTACCTGCTCATCAAGCAGCCGGAGATGCTGGCGGCGACGGCGGGCATCGGCCTGCTCCGCTACCGGGACACGTGCGAGGAGGCGCGCCGGTTCTTCGGATCCATGGAGGCGTGGATCGATGACCACGACGACGCGCGCAAGATGCTGCTGAACGTGAACACGTCGGAGAAGCCATCAGTGGTGAAGGGCGACCGGAGCAAGTCGGTGCTGTTCGACGCGGTCATTCTGGCCAAGGAGCTCAGGAAGCTGGACGACTCGCTCATGTGGGAGGTTGTCACGGGGGTGTGGGGGGAGATGCTGACGTACGCGGCGGGCAAGTGCCGGGGCAACATGCACGTCCGGCAGCTCAGCCGCGGCGGCGAGCTCATCACGCTCGTCTGGTTCCTCATGGCGCACATGGGGCTCGGCGACATGTACCAGATCCAGGAGGAGGAGACGCCAAGGCCAAGCTCATCGTCAAAGACCAGTAGTAGCGTAGGAGCAGCTCGCTCATCGTCTATATATGTTCGTCATTCCCTTCCCTGTGTGTGTGTGTCCATTGTTACCTCATGTACCAAGCGTTGAGTATTACCACACTGATTATTTGGCTGTTTGCCTGTCTGTCGCTAGAGTCACCCATCAGCTAGGACCATAATAAAAGTTTTCTTGTTTTTATATGCATCCTATTATAGTATTATGCTAAACTAGGAAGGTCTCGCACTATTGGACGGCTATCGAGTATACGGAGTATATGTTGTTCAGCTCTTATGCAGTTTATAGCTTGCACCATCTTCCTTCTGTTCACTCTCATGTCCTTCTCTCAAATCGATGCCTTTATCAGTGTTTATTGTGGCCAAAAGTACTTGTTCCACCATAAACAATATTTGCCCTACTACTACAAAAACCAGATAATACTGCCAGCTACATTACTACAGGTTGTTTTAAAACCACCAGTGATACTCCTAGTTATAAAGGGAAAAGAATATCACCGTCAGATTTCTCAATCAAGCAACAATAATGTTAGTACCACTGCCGAATTCTAACACAAACCGATAGTTATGTAGTTTCTGGAATAAAAAATAAAATGAAATCTAGTTAATCCCAGCCTAAGGTCCGCCCCTCAAACCGGTTAAGTCCGACAGCTCTCAAATCCGTTGCTCACCTCTGTGACACATATTCTCTCTCCTTGGTGCTCTCCCCTCTTCTCCTCTTGATCCTAATGGCACGGGCCGGACGACGTGGTGCCGGTGGCTTGGGGGCATGGTGCTCGGCGATGCGGGTCTGGTGGTGCGAGGCCGACAACCAGTGGTGATAGAGTTGATTATCAGTGCTGATTTTTACCATCGAAGTCCAAAACTGACAGTAATAGAGGGTTTAGAGCTGTCGTAGGATTTTTCGTCCGACAAGTAGATCAATGTTTTGTGCGTAGGGAATTAGAGGCGTAGCACATGGTTTAGGTACGCGATAACTTATGTCTAGTAGAGAATGCTTCTCTTGCAAAGTGCCCTTGGGTTTATAGGGGCGCTGATGAGTTTGTCGAGGGTTCTAAGCTATGGGTTGTCTAGATGGCGAATGAGATGTGCCTTACATCCCCTTATATAGTCAAGGGGTAGGGTTTACTGGAGGAATACCGATCAATCTATATCTACAGTTTCCTAGTTTATTACAAGGAATCTAATGTATTTGAGTGGATCATCCTGCTTTACTTAGCATTTAAGCTTATTTAGTCTATATCTTGTCTTCCAAGCAGTCGATACACTCTATCCGGCTTGGGCCTCTTTGTTAGCAAGCTTGGTCCACCCCATCCTAGTCGGGCTTACCCTCATGGACAGGGGGATCATCCCCGATCCCACCAGACCCAATGGGATTTTTTTTTTAAATTTTAACCCTTTTTTGAATATAATTTTAAATCTAACACTATCGGTTTTTTTAAAACTAACACTTTTGGCCGTGCCTATTGCCTGGCGGCGACCAAATGCTGTCTTGCGCCCATGCATGGTGGCGCGCGGAGGGTTGACGTGGCGAGGGCCGGCTGGGGACGGCCCGCGTGGCGAGGTCTGCCACCCACCGACCTTAGCGGCGGTGCAAGCGCCATCCGTGGCGGCGGCGGCAGACCATATATATACTCTGTCGCGAGCCCGCCCACCAAGCGCACCCTGCCCCGCCGCCGCTCGCCCGAATCGCCACCGCCGCCACCACCACGCGGCGGTACCACCACCGCCACGCCACGCGCGCGCTCCTTGCCCTCGCCCGCCCGCCCCGCCCGCCGCCTCGGCCTTCGCCCATCCATGCGCGCCCGGCCGCTCCCCAGCCCAGCCTAGCCCTAAGCCGGCCGCGCCACGCAAGCCTGATTAGTTAGAGGAATGTGTGGCGCAAATGTAGGAAGTACACAGACGGTCTCGGCGTCTCCGACACAACACCGTGTTAGGCTCTCTATACTATCGTACCGATTATGCGCTTGATGTACGGTATATCACAACCCTAACACAATTACGAAATTTCGGGTGTTTTGGTGTCCTTGGGATTCTCCCGAGCTCGAGGGCTACACGAGTCCACATCACTAGGGACGAGTCACACGAGTATCGCTGCGACGTCCCTCTTATTTTCTTCCATGTGGTCGAGATTCACTTGCCTATCCGGGTCTGCAGACAGTTTGGAAGAATGACAGCCTGCCCACCACCGCTTTACTCCACCAACCAAGAATTGTACGGGTGTGTTATCGATTAATAACAATGCTACAATTCAGAGGTGTGTTTGGTACAACTAACATCGTTTTGTTGCAGGTTTGACCGCAGGAAGAGGTACAAGACCAAAGATTGGCGTATGACACGCAGCCTGTACATCCATTTGTGGCAGACCAGGGTACCACATGCGGTCCTTGCGGGTCCTCCACACAACCAGCACACCTTCGACGAGTACCTATGGTGGCTTCACAGGTCTACGAGGACACATGTCAAGCCCCCGTACACTGACGTGGCGATTGACGAGGACTCAGAGGAAGATGTCATCGAAGATGTGTACGACGCTACCACTAGGGAGGACACACAGCTATAGAGAGCCCCGCTTCAAAGATACGTGGTAAGATACTTGAATGGTACAATTTATTATCCTTTTGGTTTTAAGTAAGTGTAATAAAACTGTCCAACCACGTTTCTGTACCCAGGCGACACAATTATCAAGGCTGTCCAACGAAGTAGCGTTCCGGCTTCACGAGTCTAGAGGGCAGGGGCCAGGCGTTGTCCAGGCTTTTGTGGAGGTAAATATAAACTTGTCCGTTTCGAAAATATTTCTTTAGTGTATATGCGTTTGTGTAATGAACTAACTTTAACGTCTATTTATGCAGAAGGTGAAGAAGAGCTGCAGAAGCTAGCTCGTGTTTGAGCTGCATGGACACTCCTTATGAGGAACCGCCACTCCCGGCGTGGTCGGGTGGCACGTCTTCAGCCTCTTTGAGGACACCAGCCAGCTCTTCTCAGCCGATGACAGGTGCCACTTCCGCGGTGCGTACACTACCACATCATCATAGCGCCGGAAGGACCCTGCAATCGAGGGCGAGGAGGAGGACGATGACGACGACAGCGAACCCCCAAGCTTCAGCAGACAACCACGACCCGGTGGGACGAATGGCCGCAGGACGAGATCGACATATCTCAGCTAGGTGATGCCCCACTTGGCACCCAAGGAGCCTCACAGGTACTAACAAAGATAGTTTGTTTCAATATGTAGGCTCCATGAACTAACGATCATAAGTAATCGTGCGTATCATATACCTGCAGGGTACGAGCCGTCACGCACGCTGCTTGACGCGACCATACCGACGTTGGCTACACTCTCAATGTGTTGCCAACAAATCCGAAAGACGAGAGGCATCCGAGGGATTCTTACACTCCTGGGTCTTAGTTTGTTAGGTCAAATGAATATTGCCATCCGAAACTTACGTGGTTATTTGGTTATGTTATCTCAAACTTATGTCAAAACAATAAATATGTTATGTGGCAGCTTGTCAACTTGCTTCTTATTCGTTTCTTTGAGTCGCGGCAGCACTGCCGGCGAGATTAAGTACCAACTAGTTCGGGAACCGACAGTCCCGGTGGCAATTTTTCGTAATCGATTAGTTTAAATGGTGCATAACCGTATTATGAAAGACGAAAAACTTATCATTGGCTTATCGAATTTTTTATTCGGCCGTGAAAAAAACTCAACAAGATATGTGTGCGACGCGTTTCGATTCAACCATCTAGGTACTCGATGCAGGCGCGGCGCAATGACGGTGGTGTGGCTGCGCGGGCAGTATATATATGGTCCTGCCGCGCCACGTATCAGGGCGCGACACTGCCGCGCCAAGGTCGGTGGCGCGGCAGGAGCTGCCACGTCAGCGGTCCCCCAAGCCGGCCCTCTCCACGTCAGCCCTCTGCCGCGCCACCATGCATGGCGCGACACAGGCATTTGGCCGCGCCAGGGCAACAGGGGCGGCCAAAAGTGTTAGTATTAAAAAAACCCGACAGTGTTAGATTTAAAATTATATTCAAAAAAAGGATTAAAATTAAAAAAATTCCCCAATGGAGAGGGACTTTTTCCATTTATGGGTGCAAGTTAGCCCCATCCCTGATCTCCAACGAAGGAATTCCCCATGGGTAATCAGGGAATGGGTCCGCATTGTCATATCTTTCTCTCTGTGTGTTATATGCATGTCCAAACACATGGTTTATAACCAGAAGCAATGATGGTAACTGGATTGGACAGTGAAGAACAGAGTAACCGGTGGTAGGTGGATCCAGCGGCACCAGAACATTGCTGTCGTGCTACCGCTGGGTTGTGGATTCACGCGACGCAGCTATCCCTACTATCATTGCCAGTTCATGGTTTAACCCGATAGTGACAGGGGATTTCACCGTTGAGTTAATAGGATGCCCAATCTTTATCCGGACTATTCTTGGCTTATTACCCAGTAGTGAATGAAACAAACATTACTGTTGGGTCATGCACACCCGACAGTGATTGTGGGTTCTGCAAAAGTTTTACCAAGACACGAGTGCGGATTGGAGGCGTGGTGCATGGTTAATTCTTTGTTTTTTCGAAATCTACAGCTAAAGAGAGATATCTCAATTCATGTCATAGATAGTCCTGGGGGTATTTCCGCCGATGGACAGTACACAGCCACAATGAAATATGCTAGCTGCTTAGCTTGCGCAACAGTTAAAGGATATGCATGCATGCACGCGTATGCATGGTGTGCGTGGTCGCCACTTTGATGTGTATGCGTGCATGCATCATGTTCGTCTGTGTGCCTTGCTCTCCTTGCAATGCAATTGAAAGCACCGGCCGGATAGAGTAGATCACGTGATGGATCGAACTTGATGCCTGCTGTCTTCCCCTGGGTAGCCAGCTAGTTTCTATATATTCAGCTTCTTCTTTTTTGTCTTGTCGATCTGTTACGTACATAATTGTGATGTGTGAAGGACAAATTAGTAGCGAAAGAAGCTTGTTGATGCACTTTAGTACGTGCCGGCCCTTTATCCGATCCGTGTCTTGCGGAGGCAGAAACAGCTTTATTCCATCGAAAGCTAGGAGTAGGAGGAGTACGTGTCGACAACAAGCTAGTTAGCATCACCGATATGATATGAAAAATTGCAATAAAGCATGCAACAAGGTGGTGAATGCACTCACACGTAACGTATGATTCCATTATCATTATTTCCTGACCACACTTACCTACGAGGCTACGTACGATGGATGGAGGAGATGTATATATATATACACACGTACACATCACCAGCGTCACCACCAAAACCAAGCCCAGCATACATTGCATTTGCATGCATGCATGTATGCAGATATATAAGGCTAGCAACTAGCTACAGCACCACCATATATAGCTAGCAGCTCAGCGGATCTGAGGCGCCAAATAAGAAGTTAACAAAGGGGGTCGCAAGAAGCGACTGCTGGTGCGTATTTTGTTTAATTTTCTTCTTCGTTTTGCATCTAAAACATTGATCTACATCTTGTCTTTTCCTTCTCCGATCAACTTGCATTATGCTGATATGTCTAAGTGTAGCTCGATTTTTTTTTCATTATCCTTGAAAAGACACCAAGTACAGCCGGAATTTGGAACTTAGGTACCAAATTTGGTACACGTTCCGCTTTAAATTGTAAGTTGCTTTGATTTTTTCTAAATACATAGGTTTTATTATACACCTAGATATATTAGGTGTCTAGATACATAATAAAACTAAAATGAATTATAATTTACAATAGAGGGAGTACCTCATTCTCGTGCCACTTGTACTACTTTAATTTGCAGTTACCATGCATCACGAAGCTCTTACAAAATAAAATCTTTTAGCGCTAAAAATAACACATTTCTACTAGTAACCAATATGGACTGCAATTACATTTTTTTTATTAGGTCACCAAGGGATACATAATTTTCAAGGACTTAAAAATAGGGGTTTTATCAAAAATTTTATGAAAATTAATTTGGAAAAATAAGTGTTTGGGGAGCTCCACTCATATTTTGTTGTGAACAAGAGATGGCCAGGATTATCTTCTTCTCCAGTGTTTCTTGCTCTGCCCCGAAGTGGTTTTGGGTGTTAGGCCGGGTTCAGTCTTGGAGTGGGGGTTTCTTATGTGCTCTAATCCATTTGGATTTCTACAACCCCAAATAACTTGTCCCACACCCTAGGGTGGAAACGCGCAAAGAAGGCACATACATCACTGTAAAAAGAGAAACATCACAAATATATGATTTTTTTTGAGAGAGAACACAAATATAGGATTAGGGACACATATATCCACCACACGTCTCTGTATAGTTTGCTCAGGCCACAAAGGAACCATACACGTCTCTGATGAGCGGATATCAGAGATGCATCTATTCAGTAACCACCTTTGAATATTCCAGAGACGTGCCTCTTTTAGGGCCGCCTTTGCGGTGAGCATCTCCAAGAGTTCCTAATAAATCCTCCTAATCTAGGATTTTTGGTAAGAATGGAAAACACCCATCTCCAAGAGTTCCCAATACCATATCTCAATCTTTTGGCACTTGGGAAAAAAAATCACCCAAAGCGTGCAAAGATCCGCGACGCGCGTACGAGTCTCCCAATCTAAAGGTGGAAGGGTGTGAAAAAAGAATAAAGAGTATGTAAGGATTCCTGATGCAAATGTACAAGAAAGAAAGAATATATAAAAGTGGGATAATTTAGAAATAGTATAGGATTCCTGATGTAAAATTGTCTTCTATATTTAGGAGTGAATAATTGTAAACTGTTGGAGCCAATACTTCTTTAGAAGTCGGAAAACACTATGTTTTTGGGAACAAATTATCGGGTACTCTTGGAGATGCTCTAACACATCAGAAAGACAGAAACTAGTAAATTTTTAGAGACACGTGAAACTTAATCAAGTGTTATAACATAAAAAGAAATATTGGAGCCGATATTGACCACTACTATATAAATGGTTTTCACGGGCGACATATTCACCACCGATTTGAACAAAGTCGTTGTTGATGATTTTCACTGCCGGCTCATAATATGCATGATCCGTTGGTGAAAATAATTTCACCAACGGTTTATATTACAAACAGGCGGTGAAAATAGGACCGATTTTCACCGTCGGTTCATGATATGAGCAGTTGGTGAAAATCATTTTCACCAACAGTCGGTTTGGCCTACCGATGATGAAAATTATTTTCACCGATGATTCGTTATACCAACCATCGATGAAAATGGCTGACAACAGCGATTGTCTCTCTCTCCCTCCAACTGCTCACTGTGTGTTTTCTCTGAGTGGACTCGACTCACATTTCACAAGGCTTTACTAATGTGTGCTTGCTTGGATGGATGGCTAGCCTGACACCTCGATCTACAGTTGGTTGCAGCGGCCAGCGGCGGTGATGGGTTTTAACCCTCCGGTGCCGCAGCACGACAGCAACTGGGAAATCCGGGTGGCGCTGCTGCTGAGCCTCCTCCTGCAGGTCGTCCTCATCTTCCTCGGGCCCATGCGCAAGCGCTCCGCCTCTCTGATATCCCGCTTCATCATCTGGTCCTGCTACCTCCTCGCCGATTGGGTCGCCGACCTTGGCCTCGGCCTCATGCTAAACAACATGGGCAACATTGGCGGTGGCGGCGGGGACTCCACATCCAGCTTCTTCGGCCTCAAGCGCGGCGGCGGCGGGAGCGGGACGGCTAGTACTGCAGGCAACAACAACAGCAGTAACGATGCTAGCAGCGGCAGCGGCAGCCCCATCATCTTCGCCTTCTGGACGCCGTTCCTGCTTCTCCACCTGGGCGGGCCGGACACCATCACGTCCTACTCGCTGGAGGACAACGAGCTGTGGCTCCGCCACCTCATCGGCCTCCTCTTCGAGCTCTTCTCCGCTTGCGTCATCTTCTTCTGCTCCCTGCGCGGGAACCCCCTGATCCACGCCACCGTTCTCATGTTCGTCGCCGGCGTCGTCAAGTACGCGGAGCGCACCTACTCGCTCTACTGCGGCAGCCTGGAAAGGTTCCGCGCCAACATCCTGGGGCCCCCTGACCCCGGTCGCAACTACGTCAGATTCATGACGGAGTTGGACTCGAAGGCAAAGGCCGGCTTGGACGTGGAGATCGTTATACCCAACAACGAGAAGAGAGACGACGCTGTAGGTGCGGAGGTCACGAGCATGGCGGTGGCGACCCAGCGCGAGGGCAAGGAGGCGCAGGCGTACTATTTCTTCGGTATCTTCCGGCGCCTCTTCGTGGACCTCGTGCTAAGCTCCAAGCAGCGCAGGATGGCCCAGGCTTTCTTCGTGGAGCGCAACGCCGTCGAGGCGTTCGAGACCATGGAGCTGGAGCTCGGCTTCGTCTACGACATGGTGTACACCAAGGGCGGCCCCGTCGCCCACACGAGCGAAGGCTGCGTGCTCCGCTCCGTCTGCCTTGTCTCCGCGCTTGTCATCTTCTTCCGACTCGACAAGGACAAGCACATGATGAGCCGCGTGGACGTGAGCATCACCTACGCGCTGCTGCTGGGCGGGCTGGCGCTCGACTTGGTGGCGCTGGCAATGCTCCTACTCTCCGACCGCGCGGCGGCCTTCCTCCAAGAGTCCGGGTTCAGGTGGCTGGCGGTGGTAGCCCGGCGCGGCGGTGGCAGGCACATCACTGGTCACGAATGGTCGCACAGTTCAATCTCATCGGCTACTGTACTGTTGGAAAGGGCTACTACGGTTGGAGAGGGCTCATGGTCTCCAAGCTGTCGGAGATCTTCCACGACTCCTTCTTTCGGTACCAGTTTCTCGGCAAGATCAGCTACTACACAAGGACTGTGGAAATAGCAGCAGAATATGGTGGTGGGAGCAGAGAGGAGGTGGTTGAGATGATGGACGCCCATTTGCCTTTTCCGTTTTGTTTTATACGACGCAAGGGGATTTCCCGTTCTACAGTTGAGGAGTCCTTCATCCTGGAGACGTTCTTCCGTGGTGTTGCAGACCTGCTCCATCGTCCCTCGACAAACAGCGTGGTGCTCAACTGCCGAGGAAAGATTGCAATAGACCGCCTTGCCGCGGATATGAAGATAGCCATCGGGAATAACGATGAGGTGGAGCGCCTTGCCATGGATATCATCAACAGGTCCCTCGGGAAGAACGACGGGGCGGAGCGCCACGGCATGGACGATATCGACAAGATCAAGGCCGAGGTCGTTGAGGAGAAGTTCAAGCTGATCCTGGACAGCGTGGTGCAGAGTGACTTCGACGAGTCCCTGCTGCTGTGGCACATCGCCACCTACCTGTGCCGCCTCCAGGACAAGAGAACGGCACCGACGGCGGAAGAATTGCGGCTGCGGGCCATCGGCGAGACCCTGTCGGAGTACATGCTGTACCTGCTCGTCAAGCAGCCGGAGATGCTGTCGGCGAGGACGGGCATCTGGCTGATGCGGTACCGGGACACGTGCGAGGAGGCACGGAGGCTCTTCAGCTCCGTGGACGCGGCGTGGATCGATGACCACGACGACGCGCGCAGGATGCTGCTGAGCGTGAACACGTCGGAGAAACCGCCGGTGGTGAAGGGCGACGACAGCAAGTCCGTGCTATTCGACGCGGTCATCCTGGCCAAGGCGCTGAGGGAGCTCGACGAGTGGCTCATGTGGGAGCTGGTGTCCGGGGTCTGGACGGAGATGCTGCTATACGCGGCGCGCAGCTGCCCGGGCAGCACCCACGTGCGCCACCTCAACCGCGGCGGTGAGCTCATCACCATCATCTGCTTTCTTATGGAGCACATGGGCCTCGGCAACGCACACGACGTCAAGAAGGTGGATGTCCCCGCCAAGCTCATCGTCCATAAATAGGAGGTGGAAATAGATGTCTGGAACCCTAAATATCCAAATTTGTATCCGCTAAAAATGTAATTGTGAATATTCGTATTTGTAACCATAATCAATGTGGATATTGGAATAATGGATGTATCCGTTTGCCAAAGTCAGAATTCGGATCCAGATATCTAGATTTTAATCGAATACGGATGTAAAAGCGGATATATTATCCTTATCTGAAAGCAAGTTGACGAGCTTTCAGCACGCCGCGCCCAGCCACTCTGCTCGTGCCTCTGTCGCACACCCATGCAGCAAAATCGTCCCCTCGCCGCTGAGGGTCATGATGGCCGACTAGAAGAGATAAATAGTCATTTCTAAATTCTAATCTCTACGGCTAGCCGATCAAAGCAACGGAATTCAACTAATCGTCTAGCCTCAATTATACCCCTCTATCTATATCACAAGCACATTACAGAAGATCTTAATCAAGGTGATTCCAAGTTGCCAAGCTAGTGGGAGCTCTCCTACACAATTATAGTTTGCAATGTCACATAATATAGAACTAGTCAAGCAATCAACCAGAGGCTCCTGCACATACTATTGAGCAACAAGGTACACTAGCACCACACTAGCAGTCTAGCATTGTACTACTCAACTAGTTACACCATACAAGCACAACTAAAGAGCTACAACTACTTAGCTACACAAGAGCAACAACAACACTAGCACAAGTATGAGCAAGTAAATACAAGAGTTTAGGGAATGTAAACCGAGCGGGATAAAAAAAGATGACTCTGTGATTTTTATCACGAGGTTTAGTGGTTTGCCAACCACTTAATCCCTGTTGAGGCAAGCCCAAGTTTGCTGCCAAACCTCTTGCTAGTGGCAAGCCAGAATCCGGACAGAGTAGATGTGATCGATCGAAATTGATGCCTGCTGTCTTCACCTAGCTAGCACTACAACATCACTCATTGTACAAGGCATTTATAAATGCCTCCAAAAATGGTCAAAACACCCTCAAAGACCTTTTGAGACATTTATTAAAACGCCGGCTAAAACATAGAAGTAAAAGGTCTTTTGATGTGTTTTTTTAGAATGCCTTTTAATATCAACATTTAAAGGCATTTTCTGGCTGCTAGAATACTTTTTAGAGGCACTCTAGAATTTGCCTTCAAACATTGATGGAGGCGTTATTAGAAATGCCTCCAAAACAAGGTATCCATGCAACCCTTTCGACCAATATCAATTTAGTACATTAACATTGGATGCACCAAACTTTAAAATCTTTCATTATACAGACATAAGCTTTCATACAGAAAGCTAAACTACTATGGATTCAGCAGAGGAAGACCACTATGACTTTACTACAACGATTCAAATATTCAGTCAAGAGAACAAAACATCTCTAATCCATAGTCACACCAACAGTGCTGACAGCATGCAACTTAAGTTCTGAACTACTCTTGTGCAGCCATAAAATTCTTCTAGGTGCTGTTTCTCGAGTCCAGCAGACAAGCCTTTCAAGGTGTTGACAATAACATGCTCAAATTACAAAAGACAAGTACCTATAGCTCATAGTCTCATACTATATAACTACTAGTACCAGAAAGAGAATGGTGACACTACCACCAACAAGCTTCTTGCCATTATCAAATCCAAAGGTCAGCAACCTCTACCTTCTTCCCCCACTGCTCGCTCACTCTACTCTAGGTTTCTGCAATACACAACAAACCATCAGCTAGTCACATACAGTAAACAAAATATAACAATAGAATCAGCAAGCAGGTAATTATTTTCTAATACAAAGCTAAACTTCTGAGTTTCCATATAGTCCACCACATAGCAGTGACAGTTTGACACCTATACTACTACAGCAACACCCTTTCTCTGCTTTTGACCAAGAATTCTACAAATTTATAAGCATGTTGTTGTCGCCCTTAAAATCAATATGTATTCACTGTGGTGTCTTCCATTGAGTTGCAGTGCTCTAATGGACTTGTTCTTCTCAGATTTAAGCTGAATAAATTAAGTTGAGGAACAAAATTTAAAATAGCAATAAGCCTATGAAGCTTTAGTAGAGCAAAACAAGCAGCAATCAATTTTAGAAATAATTAAGCTTTAGTAGATTTACCTAAGATGTAACGATGAAAATTCAGCAATTCATTGCAAATGAAAATGTATGCTCAGAGTTTTCCTATTTCCTACAGACAGGAACCTAGAACTCTAATGGCAAAAGAGTCCAACATCTTAACCAAATTCATGATCTCTAAGAGTATCTGCGAGAAAAAGAAAGCCAGTTCATTGCATTAACCAGTTATAAAAACAGAGCCTAACACTAAAATAGATGGGTGTGTCAAAATATCTCATTGAATCTGCTTCTATTGATTATATTTGCGAGTGGAGTTCTTCTTTTTCATTGTGTCGACATGCAACCTTTTCAAAGTAGGACCAGTCATAAATAATCCTCCTTCTCTACCATATTATATACCAACTTCTAACTTTTAATTGGTGCCCAATTTAAATCTTTGGTAGTGAAACTTGTGAGTTACCCTACTACAAGCAGGCCAAATAGATAAAATCAGTAATAACAATGTTTTTTTTTCTGGCATACTGTGAACCAGTATTTAGAGCCTTTGCATGTGTTGAATGCTTGCTTGCTGGATTCAGGATAAAGAAGCTCTATTAGAGACATACCGGAATGATCGTAGACATTCCCAATGATGAAAGAGCTCTGACCTGGAGAAAAAGTAGACCTTATATCTTGCTTACAGTGACCTGGGGTCCTTGACCCCTCTTGTTTCCGCAAAAATGGGAGAAGGGACCAAATAACCTTAGGCTGGCATATCTAATCTGACTATAACGCTTATGTGTCCCTGCCAGTTACACGCTGCAAATGGTGAACTAAGTGAGTTTCAGTGCATAGTGCATGTCAGAAATTACAGCTCCAAACTATAATATAGATATTGAAGCAGATTTATCAGATATCTATAACATTGAACTGAAGAATCCCACTACTACACAATACCTCTGTAGGGGCGGCTCTAGAGGCTTTGTAGGGGCGGTTTGCCCAGCCGCCCCTACCCAAGCGCCTCTACAAATCATGTATTTGTAGGGGTGGTTCCCAGACCGCCCTTACAAATCAATTTGTAGAGGAGGCTGGTGTTATCAGCCACCCTTACAAACCAATTTAACCAGCCGTCTCTACAAAATTGATTTGTAGGGGCGGTCATAGTATCAGCCGCCCCTATAATACCTGTTTGTAGGGACGGTTCACTCTAGAACCGCTCCTACAGTACATTTTACGCAAAAAAATTTAAATTTACAATTCAAATTCGACCAACACACACACACACACACACACACACACACATATATATATATATATATATATATATATATATATATATATATATATATATATATATATATATTCAAATCTGAGAATCTGCACAACCCAATATCATTACATCCATTATCATATTCAGATTAACCAAATTTAACAAGTTTCACAGCATCAATACACACCACGTTGCAGTGGGAGCTTATCAAAATCATACAAAAAAAAACTCGAGAGCATACCAAAATCATAAAATAGCTAAGTTCATAAATTCCGATAGCTTTTCCATTGTTCTTGTTTCCTGCACATGAGTGAGCGAGAAATCAGAAGTTAGGATGATGGGTTGCAAATAAAAACCACCAGTTATGAGAAATGAAGACACAACGATCTAACGATATGTTATTGCTGCAAATTTAAACGAAAGTAGATGCCGACTTGAATAAGAAGCTAACTCATTTATACGGGAGACAAATCTACTAAAGAATATGTGAAAAAAGAGGACCGGACATCACTTACCATATTATGCAACCGGTGGTGCAGAACTACAGATGTTGGAGCATCCATCGGCTGCACAGGCCCTCCAGACACACGCACCCAAGGATCCGACCACATCAGATCTCCGCCCGCTCGCGTCGGATTCAGATCCGGTCGCGCCAGCCCTCAATCCACCACCGAGGACGCCACCACCCAAGATCTGCCGCTTGGAGGATGGGCTCTCCCTGGATCTGCCGTCGGGGAGCACACCCGCCCTCGATCCACCGATGGGGGACATCACCACCCTAGATCCATCGCCGGATGATAGGCCCGCCTTAGAGTCGTCGTCAGGGAGCGCGCCCGCCCTGGATCTACCGTCGGGGGGCGCGGCCGACCTAGATCCGCTGCCGGGGGGCGCCACGCGTGCCGCCGCCACCGGTATGGGCCGTCACGCGCGCTGCCGCCGGGGGTGGTGGCCGCCCCGTGGGCCGCCCCGCACGCCGCCGCCACTGGTTGGGGCCGTCCCGTGCACTGCCACCAGTTGGGGCCGTCCTATGCGCCGTTGCCACGGAGGGAAGGTGGCCAAGCGCCACCGCCCCGAGCGCCGCCACCGTGGCACCGAGAGAGGGAGAGAGAGGTAGGCATCAGAGGGAGAGAGAGAGAGAGAGAGGTGGGCGAGTGAGGGAGAGAGAGAGGAGGGCGAGTGAGAGAGAGTGCGCCGTCGGGTGAGAGAGATAGAGAGTGAGAGGTTGGATAAGTGAGAATGAAACCCTAAATCTGGTTAGGGTTTGGGAAGTCCGACGGGTGGAGCTAGTTTTGTTCCTGGTGGGACGAACTTCGGCTGTTGGATTCAGATCAAGGGCTTAGATCATTGACAGCCTTAACAGGCCTGCGGGTTTCAGTGGCCTACAAGCGAAAGTGAGTCCCAAGCCCAGGTTTGGAGCCTGCGGGTTTCGGCAGCAGCATTTGTAGGGGCGGCTGGTGATTGAGCCGCCCCTATAAATCGCAATACCGGGAGCGGCTGGTGAGTGAGCCGCCCCTACAAATCGACACATTTGTAGGGGCGGCTCATATCACCAGCCGCCCCTACTGTTCTATTTGTAGGGGTGGCTGGTCTCGTGGGTCCCAAGCACGCCCACTGTAGGGGCGGCTTCATCACCAGTCACCCCTATAAAAAAAATTATCCCGTTGCTACAAACGTTTTTTTAGTAGTGTCCATATGCAC